CCTACCAGAAAGTCTGTGGAAATAATAAATTTCATTTATCACTCGTTAGGCTTACAGATTACAGCCCCGAACGGAAACAATTAGGGAATATACCCGGGTTCACAAAGAACACCCTAGGGTAGCATTCCCTATAGAAAAAAAGGCCTCTCACGCGCGTGAGGCCTGATCCGTTCATTCTCACAAACGTTTCCGCTGCACCAATGGGCCGCCTGAAGCTTGTGGGGGAGGTGGGCGCATTCCACAGACTTTCTGGTAGGTATGATTAGGTAAACAAATGGGTTTGTACAACCCTAATAGTTTACTACATCACCTACCAGAAAGTCCATGGAAAAAATAAATTCCATTTATTACTCGTTAGGCAGAATAGCATGCTCACCGGAGGTGGGGATGCTCCGACGGCTGAAATGTATATTTTTTGACACAAAGAAGAAAGGTCAAAAAAAGAAATCTAAAATCTTGTCCCAGGATACAACCACTCGGGCGACTCTTCAGGGACCAGGTGCCTCAAGAGTAGACCCCCCAATTTAGGGAGGCTTACTAAAGCTGGTCGACTGAACAATAAAATAGGGCCCCAACAATTCTAATGCATCAAAACCTGCAGCGTAAAGCAAAGTTTTGACTGAAGACACTAACGCGCTAACGCTTTCGCGCATAGGGCCCCTTGGTGGTGCGGGCTGGGTCAATGAACACTATCTGACCCATCACCACTGGGCCCAACCTGTAGAGACCCTCCTGCAGCGCTTGGAGGTCTCTCAGGTAATAGTTAATGAAGACATTCTGAGATCTCCAGAACCCTGCTCGAAGCACCTGCTCGAGCGAGGCCCCAAACATCAAAGCCAATGAGTTGGCTACCCCGCGCACTTAGTGTGCCTTCACCTGGTGACGTTCCAAACGAGCCGATGAAGAAGCAGTTAAGTTATACGCTTCCACAACCATATCAACAATCCGAGAAATGGTGATATTCGAAGCAGGGTGGCTCTGTTTGCCCCGCCCATAACAGACAAACATGCGCTTCTCACTGCCCCTAGACACCTTGGTGCTGTCGCAGTACCAGCTCAGAGCTCGGACAGGACATAAAATCAGTTCCTGACGATCCTTCTTGCCCACGAAGTTAGTGAGACGTGGGATGACGATCGGCTCAGGGTCACGCCCTGGGGTCTGATTCTTGGCAAGAAAGCCCAACCGAGTCTTCAAAATAACTTGTGAGTTCATAAACGAGGCACATCAGTCATTAAAGGACATTGCCCCTATCTCTGAGCGCCGCCTACCTGACGCCAGAGCCCCAAAAAACTGTTTTCAAAGTGACATATTTCATGTCCGCCTTATCCATAGGCTCGTAGGGGGGTGTGTGTCGTAACGCCCTAAGAACCAACGACAAGTCCCAGTCAGGGGAATTCGCAAGCCCCTTGGCATGTGGCCTCTTCGAGTGGAAAGTCTTAAACAGTTGTATCATAATAGAACTCGAAGCCAGTTTCAGTCCAGCAGATTCTGATAAAACAAGGAATAAAACTGACGAAGAATCCAAGAATTGTCAATATAGATTTTCCTTGATCAAATAAATACTGTAAAATGACTAGTTTTCACTTGGTTTAAATTTCGCTGATTTACCATTTCAGGTATATTAAGTGGGTTTTAAATTCACGGTTTTGTCATTTAGATAATGTATTCTACGCTAAATTTTACATATTCACTGGGTTTTAATTTAGCGCATTTTTCATTCAGCGAAATAAGCCAAATTAAAACCCGGTGAACAATTGATCCTTTTACAGTATAGGAAAAAATCGGCTACCTCGCTAATAGAGGGACTGAGATGATCAAACTCCCTTCGGTCACACCAATCAATGTACAGTCTGCATCTGGATTCGTACAAACATCTGGTGCTGTCCAACTGTGCCAAAGCAAGGAATTTGGACAACTCTGCAGAAAAAGCATTGCGCTTGCACGAGTTTATTGACAGCCTCGACTAGAAGTTCCAGCAACATTGGGAACCGGTGGGCTTGAGTCGTAACTTCTCTAACACTTGGTGCACCAGTTGGAAGGGTGGAAAAGCGTAATCGTCCATGAGACTCCAAGAGATCGATAGTGTCCGTGGCGAAAGTTCTAGTCTCCGAGAGGAGTGACACGTACGTCAGAAGCTTGGCATTCCTGTGATTGGCAAACATCTATCTGGGGCCCATCCCAGAGACGAAAAAGCCGGTCCGCCACCTATTGGGGGATCTGCCACTCGGTGTTCTGGAACCGAATACGTCTCGAGAGGGCATCCACAGCACTGTTGCGTATCCCCGGAAGGTGGTGAGCCGATAGCTCCACTTGGTTTTCCAGGCGCCAAAGGAGAATCTCCTTCGCTAGCTTCGACAACGTGGGGGAATGCGTCACCCCTCCTTGTTGATGTACGATACTACTGATGTGTTGCCTGTCCGAAGCAGAACCCTGTGATGGTGTGCGACTTCCTGAAAATGTTTCAGAGACAATAGGATGGTCTGCAACACCAACCAATTGATGAGGTGGTCCGAATATGCGGACGGCCATGTCCCCTGAACCTGAAGGTCCATCAGATGACCGTCCCATCCCTAGAGCGACACATCTGTAATGAGAGTCAGCAAGGGGGTCGTCGGATCTAGGGGTTTTCAAGTTCCGTACGTCCTTCCACTAAAGGAGGGCCGCCATCGCTTGGTCCGACAATTGAACCCTGAATGTCAGGTTCCGCATGTGGACCTTGTAGTCCAGTAAGCACCGCTGCTAACGGAACCAGACAATGAACTGAAGTCATTTTGCCAATAAGCTGCATCAGTTCGCGCATCGACGCCAATCCCATTGACCGGAGTTGGCTGGCGAGCTCTGCAAGGGAGTCGCATCGCTCCTGAGAGGGGCGAACAAGCCCTTGCTCCATGTCGAACTGCATACCCAGAAAACCAGGCTGTGGGACGGCATTGGATTGGACTTGGCTATATTTGTTAAAAAGCCCAACTTGTGGAGGAGCATTTGCGTCAGTCATACGTGCTCCACTAACTCCTCCCTGTCTCAGTTGGGTAATAACCAGTCGTCGAGATATGGGTTCAGATAAACCAACAACCGATGTAGCAGCTGGGTCACCCGTCTTAGCACTCTGGTGAAGACGTACGGTGCAATGCACAGACCGAAGGGGAAGCCGGTAAACTTGTAAACGTTGCCCTCTAATGAGAATCTGAGATACCGGCTGCATCAGTGGTGAATGGGAATGTCGAAGTAAGCGTCGCTCAAGTCCAGCCACGCCAGCCAATCACCCAAGTGCATTGACAAAAGTACTGAAGCTGGTGTTTCCATCCAGAAGTGCTTGAGTTCTAGGACTGGACGCCACCCCCTCCCCCCGAACTCTTGGGAACGAGGAAGATGTGGAAATAGAACCATGGGAATAAATGGGGGTTCTCCACTAGGCGTATTGCCCTTTTCTCCAGAAGGCTAAATACTTCCTGTAGGATTGTCTCCGCCTTGACCTCGTCCCTCAGCAAAGGACCTGAGGGAGGATGAGTCAGGGGAGGAGACCGAAGAGGAATCCAATACCCACGCGACACTACTGCGAGTGTCCAGGAATCGGAAATTCTCCTGTGCCAAGCTGGTAAGTGCTGCATAAGGCGTGAATCCACAGGAAGGAGTGGACGGGGGTTCGGAGCTAGTGCTTCCTGAACTCCAGCCACCAGTATGGGAGGATGAAGCCGAAGAGACTGAGCCCGAGGACTCCGGGGAGGGAGACCCGGAGTCGTACCACCATCCATGTCCAGGCAGCCGGTAAAACCTTCAAAAAGATTTCGCAACCCCCTGGTCCCCAAAGGTGTCAGAACGCCCACCACCAAAATCATGTTTCTTGGGCTTTTTCTGAAGCTTCCGCTACTTGTCTTCTTCTGCCCCTTCGAACAAAACCATGTGTGCTTTGATCCTTGCTGGTTGTGGTCCGAGTGGAGGACTTACTGCCTGAGCCACCTTGCGGTTTTGATTTAAATTGTTGACCGGAAGGACTAGCTACCTTGGCCAACAGGGACTATTGCTTCAATTGGATACGCTGATCCTCAGCAACCGCCAAACTGTTCACCGCATTCGCTAACTGGCCACTAAATAGCCGGTCACGCCCCCAAGGCCTTCTCCGCAGGCGATCAAACTCGTCTCCCGCTGGAGTAGGATAGGCGCACAGACTCAGAACTGCCTCTCGCTCAACCGAAACTGCTCCTGCCAAGAGGGCAGTATGGACTTGCAAGATATCGCACATAGCGACTTTCTGCGCAGCCAGGAACTGGCCCATCTGCCTGAGGATCGAGGTTCGTTGCTGAGCACTCAGAAGATCAGAACTTAGCAAACCCATTCTATAAAATTTATGGGTGTAAGTTCCGCCCGTAAAGCCTGATGCACTTGTAGGCACTGGTGCCGGTCAAATGTCCACGCAACGTGGCCTTTCCGATCCGCACTACCCGCCTTAACGAAGGTATGGGTCGGGATGGGGAACCCATGGAGCAGGCTGTGGTACCACGTGAGTGTCCAACACCGGGGACCCATAAACGGAAGGCATGGGACATGACCGCTCCGAAACCAGGTTCAAGATGTTTGTCCTTTTCTCCCGAAGGGTACCAATCAGCCTCCATCGCTCTCTGAGTCCCCTCCATAGCTTGGGCCACACGAGGTGCCCAGGGGAGTTGGCCAGTGGGCGCGGTTTCCACGCCAGCAGTGGGAGAGGAGAAGGCCGATGAAAACGGGTCCAAAGGCGACTCTCCCCATTCACTGATTCAGGGTGGGGTGGGATTGCCACCGGCCCCGTACGAAACAAAAGTCTTGCAGTTATCACTGCCCAGTTCACAAGCTGTGACCTTAATTGCATATTAGTAAGGGTCAGCTGGGCTTCGGTTGGTTGGGTATCCTGTGACTGTCCCGACAAAGTGGGGACGAGAGACGACAAAACGCTTCCCCCTCATGTTGGGGGGGGGGGGTAGCTGCACCCCATAAGAGGGTTACATACCATCCTGTACAGGGGTACCAACACTGGAGTCCCCTCCACTCGCAGAGTCACAAGTGAGAGCAATCTGTGCGGTAAGAGCAGGAAACGATGCCTGGGGGATGGGACACACCTGACCCAAGTGCTGGCGGTGGAGGGACATGCAGTATCTCAGCCCGTGCCCCCCCACCGACCCCCCTAGGTCCTCCTGCGTTGTACCCTGAGACTGCAGAAGGGAGTTGACTTCTGAAGCCAGATTACGCATCCAGGCCCTCCAGCCACCTTTTCACCATGGAAGAGCTGGTCACCTTGACTAATACTGGTAAGGGAAGGCAACAGGGCCTGTCCCTGTGATTGCGCAAGTCACTCAGGCTGCGTCGGTACCAATGAAGTCTTGGTGGATTGAACCGGTTCAGTCCATAAAGGCCGTACCAATTCCACCTTGGTACCGGTGTCGATGTCAGTGCCCCAGTGGGAATGCTGTTTACCAACACCGGTAACCGTGGTGACTGCAAAAGCGGTTGAACGGTGTTTGTCTGCCTCAGTAACATCAAACGGGGAAACTAACTACAGATAACGACAACTCTCCAACAATCTTGGTTGTAGACCGGAGGCGAGCCTCGTCGCGATTACTAAGTGGAGGGAGAGATTTTCACTCATTGAATCGCTAGCTGCGACTAAGGATTCCCCCTTTTTATGGCGTCTTTT